ACAGAAATGACTAAAACTAGAAACAAAATGAAGAAGGTTTAACGAGGAACATCACTTTGAAGATAAATCAGGCTGGACAAAACAGTCTGTTTGTATTTATATTTACATTTCCAGAATTCTTTCAATATGCTCATAATATGTTCTCTATGGGTCTTGATGGAACTTCCTATAACCACAGCAGTTTAACATAGCAAATGCTATCCCCAGCTTGAGCAATTTCTTCTTCCTAATGCATATACACACCATATACACACTACAGTTTTCAAATGCCAGTCAAAAACAGGAATGAGTCAGGCGTTTAGTACTCTGGATGATATATGATAATTAAAGACCATAATTATAAGAATTTGACATTTAATCTCATTTCGTCACATGGAGACCTTGGCAATGGTTTCTAGAGGCTGTGGGGGTTTGCTGGTCTTGACTGAACTGATATGGCCATGAGAAGAAATTCATTCCCTTAGATACAGAGACAACTAGAACTTTAAAGATAAAAGTGCACCCTAAAACTAGATATGAAAGCTCACAAACTCGGGGCGGGGAGCAAGTGCTGAATCTCCTTCTCCAATTAACAAAAAAGCACAGCATCTTGCAAAAATTTCCATTTCTGGGTGGACATGAGGTATGACCACCACCTTGCTCCTAAGTAAATGCACTGTTAATATAGTATTAAATAGTGAAGTCTGTTGAAGGAGCCACCCAAAATCTCTGGAATGTCAAATACATTAGAAATACCTAGAATCCTTTTGGAGGTACCCTTGTTTTTGGTCAGTTTTGGTGAGTTAAAACATGGGAGTGCAATGAAGTGTGTGTTAGGGCAATGGAATAGTGAAGACACACAGGAACACATCAAAAGCACAGACAGAACAAGAAAGGCCCCTGAAACAGATTGTTCCCCCGACACATATGGCTGGCAGTAAAAGGGCTTCATTTCTTAGCATCTTAATCACAGGATTTGTCTGGCGGCCTTTCAGAAGTGTTGCTGCAATTACCTTTTCTTGTAAGCTAGGATTAGTATAATACAAATACAGGTAAATTGCCACATGACGATACAGTATTTGTCAGGATTTCATCCAGATTTCTGAGAAAGGCAGCATTACTTAAAAAAACACTCACTTGGATGAACACCTGCCATAATTACAAAGGACACAGTAAACAGCATGGTAGCAGAAAACTATTAAAAGTGTGCCTCTACTTGTTACAGAACAGGAAGCAAAAAAGGTGGGAAAGAAAATACAAGAAATGGAGGAAGAAAAAGGACAGATTAGGCCATGTGTTGACTGGGAAAATGTAACATGGAATCACGGAGCAGAAACAGAATTCTTAGATGTTAACAGTGACTGTATCAAGGAACAACTAGGTAGGTAGTATAGAAGAGGGCAAACAACCTTCATTATGGTTCAAGCAGCACAGGGGTCCTGTTTCAGAATTCTAGTGTTGAAGAACTGCATTGCAACAGTGACTATAGCTTGCCCTGAAATTATATCCTTGCCAAAAAAATTAAAAAAAAAAAAAAAATGCACAAAGGCATGCCCCAAATTCACCAGATCTGTGTTCAACAGAATAAAACACATAACAAGGAAGCCTATCAAAGACCAAGAGGGATAGGAGACCTAAAATAGCCAGGTTCTTGCAGATGGTGATTGCTGAAAAATACAGTGTTAGAGAGAACAAGGAAATGCATACCACCAATCAAGAACGACCCAAGAAAAGCAGAACTGAAGCTGGCACAGCTAGACAGCAGGAATAAGGCAAGTTACTAGAAGTCGTCCTCTGAAAAGCTGAAGTTGTGTCCAAATATATAAAACAAAACCAAAACTACCACCAACAAAAAATAGTAAGCATAACAAGCCTACCCAAACAGAATCTGCAGGAAAATAAAGTAGTAAGATCCTATCTCTCACACTTACCTGGAACAGCAAGCCTGTCAAGTCTTGATGATAAAAAGAGCACTGCAAGAAGATAAAGCTGTATCAGGCAGCCAAAATGAGTTATCATCTCCCTGCACCGTGGAAGAGGCATGAGAGGTTCCTCTGCTGGAACTCATTGCAAGGCGTGAATAGAAGGGTTCTGCATGAACAGCAACAAAACACCAAGTTCAAATGGCACTCAACCCTAAGCTCTAGAGAAGCTCAAGGATGAAACTGCTGAACTCTCTTAAAACCGACACTGGGCCTGAGGACATGAACTTTGGAAATAAGATACCTATTTTTAATAATTTGAGGGGAGATCTGTGGATCAGACTTAGAGGTTGTTACCAGACAATCTGAGAAACTGTAATAAAGAACAGAATCAGTGACCATATTGGTAAATATCACCTTTGGGGTGTCCTGAATCTTCTCGTTTTTAATGTTACTCCTGGGAGTTTTGGAGTCTCCTAATGAATTTGTCAAAATTGGTAGCATTCACAAGCCTGTAGGTAAAGATTTGTTGAAAGGATTTACATGTTTTTCTGAAAAACATTGAATAAGGTATCTTGTCAAAGACTTATGGAAACTAAGGAGCCTTGAAGTAAGATGGATGGTCTGTGTTTTGATAAATACCTGGTTTCAAGATAGGAAAGAAAATAGAACTAAGTGTTCTGTTTGCACAGTGAAAAGAGATCCTCAGTGGACTCTCAAGTTGGATCACTGTGCATGTCAAAAGGGATCCAGTAGAACCACAGCAGCACAGGGATGTGTGGAACAGCATCCATAGGTGAAAGGAGTGCACTACAATTCTTATGGTTGGGAAAGAGGCAAGAGATCTAGTGAGAGTCTAGATACCAACCACAATAGTCATAATGTCATAAAGAGTTTGTGCTTTCCTGTATTTCATATTGGGTACCTAGTGAACTCTATGGAGTATCCACTGAAGATGGCAAATGGCAGATTGCAAGCAAAAAGGGATGCTTAGATGTGGAAATCCCTGCAAAACGACGTTGCAGAAACTTAACATTTTCGTAACATCAGGAGGAAAAACAGACAAGTTCATGGAAGAGAACGCACCTCTGGTTTAGGTAAGCCCTTAGCCACAATGTCTTGGAGGCTGGGAAGGTACCCGCAAGACCAATGCTTGCACTGCTGTTAGTCTTTCCTTGGTGGCCACTGCTTCAGGCTGGTGACTGGACTAAATGAACTCTTCATCTGACCCACTACAGCTCTTCTGTTTTGGTGTTCGTATGTTTTAGGTTCATAGGATGTTAGACTCCTTAGTAATGCTGACAGCCATGCCAACAGGCCCTTCTGTCCTCCAGCCCTCCAGTCAGAAGGGTTTATCTGGTGACAAGTTGCATCTCTAATAGTAAACCAATTCCATCTGGTATTCCTTCTGTAGGTGTGTGTGTATGTGTATTATATATGTCTACATAAATAATAATCTAATGTTCTTTACTTTCTAAACTACCAAAACCTAATTTGGAACTTTCACTAGTGCTTTTGCATCTTTGACAGGACACTGAAACCCTCCACAGTTCCTCCACACTTTGTAAATAGTAGTAATATTTGGTGGTAAATAATCTTAGCTAGCATAACAGTAATTTATTCCTTACTGTTATTTAATGTATTGGTTTTGTTTTGTTCTCCAATGACACCCAAACTCTACTATGTTAGTGCTTCAAATAGTGCTATGCCATGAAATGTTTACTTGAGAGCTTAATGTGAATATCCTTCATTTTTTTCTTCAAAGTGTATTTTTTGGAATCAATGACACTTAGCAGTCTGATAGGGAGTGTGTGCCTTCTATTCCCACTTACTGTTACAGATTCGCTCACCTTTCTCAAGGCGATGTGAAGTCCCAGGACTTTATCAAGACGTGGTACATTTATTCGTGTGTTTCCTGTATAGCGGTATTTAATCCCTTCCATGTTTTCAGTTCTGAGTGGTCTGTTTACCTTACTGATCTTCTTTCTATTCTTCGGTCCTCTGTTTCCTTGTCTTTTGTCGGGACTGTGGTAGTATCCCCAAGTCTTTGCTTCCTACAAAGCCAGTATTCATCATCATCTCACATAAGGTGCACTAGGTGCACACAACAAACTTCATTTGCTGTGAACACTATAGCTGTCATTTCCTTTAATTCCCATAAGGCTCTCCCTCGTGTGGATTCATGTGCCCCTACTCCTTTCTCATTAGGATGATGTGCTCTATCCTAGGGCTTTTCTATGCCCCATTTTCTTCTTACTTTCCACCTAATTCCCTCGTTCTGCTTCTCAGAAGGCACCCCCTCTTGAAGCTTGAAAGGCAGGGTTCTATCTGCCACCTGTTCTGCTCAGACCAGTGGTTTGGCTGCCCTCAGTGTGACTGAGACCTACCATCCCTCAATTCTGGGAATGTAGAATTGCAGGACTAGCTAAATGTTCAAGCGATCCTTCACAAGACAGAAAAGCGATCCTTTAAAAGACAGAGGAGAAGTTGGCATTAAGCAGGCTGTAGGCCTTGCATGTGCAGCCCATACATATCTAGCCATACTCACAGAAAACTGATTTAAAATAGTTAAGTATTCTTATATAACCCCATTGTACCTAGGAGTATGGGAGCTTGTAGAAGCTGCCTCACTTTTTTTTTGTTGTTGTTGTTATTAATAACAGAGAATTGATGGAAATCACTAATGACCATTTCCAAATCTGTATTGCTTCCAAACCACTTACCAGAGGACAAATTTTCTGCAGGTGTGGATCACTCAGTGTTTATGTCTGCTTATGCAAAACGTATGGTGGAGAATTTTCTTTTCATCAGCTATTCAAGTGCTGTCTGCTTCCTGTTCTGATGTCCTTTATTCTGACTTTTTATCACCCACTGTTTTTGAGGTTCTTGCCTATTGGCAAAAGTCAAAATTGCCCCATGGTTTAACCTTTTACTTTCCAGTTCTCTCGCTGATTTTCTTGTTTGTGCTTCACACTCTGAAAATTTCCCAAACTGTTTATTGTTATCTGTTACTCTCTAGAGCTTTGGAGTTTGTTAAGAAACGTATCAAAAAAAACCCAACAAAAACAACTGAGGTGTATGATTTCTGTTCTTTTGTAGAATAGTGTCTGAACAGGAAACACTCACAAAAGCATCAGTGTCCCCACCTTTGCAGCCTACTGAAGTGTCCTCAACTCTTTTATGCACTCATCTATAAAATTGAAAAACTTCTTCCTCTACGTAATTGTTAAGAAAGAAAAACAAGCTTTGTTTTCAAACTCCATCCCCTTTTTTGATGGATTATGTCACCAAATTTGTTGTGAATTCAAGTAAGACATCAGAGATGCAGTGAGCTAGAAAACGGATGTTGGCCATCAGACTTTGCTAGACAGAAAGGAAAAACATTTTTTTTAAAAAAAGCATGCAAAACAAAACAAAACAACACAATTAGGAAAAAAAAAGATTCGACTAGAACCAAGAAATACGAACCAAAATGTTCTTGAAGTGAACTGGTGCCACTGCTTGACAGGACTAACTGACTGAATTTAAGAAGAGATTGGACTGTGCGCTTAGTCACATGGTCTGAACTTTTGGGTAGACCTGTGCGGTGTCAAGAGTTGGACTTGATGATCCTTAAGGGTCCCTTCCAACTCAGGATATTCTATGATTCTATGATTCTATGAAGTGAATGCTGCAAATGTTAGCTGAATGATTTTTAACTACTAAGGAAGGTGCTTTTTGGTGTGTGTGGGGATGGACGGAGGGACAACGATGACACCGTCGCCTAGCTCTCCCGCTACTCTGTAAGCTATTACCTTCAAGAATAAGGAAAATAAAACTGAACGATGAGTTGGCCGGTCTGTTAATTTCTGTCTTACGGGGGAAGCAGGAGGATTTTGTGTAACTGAGGTTCAGCCTCAGCAGTAACTTAATGGATTATCCAGACACCTACACCCGACTGAGGTTAAAGGAAAGGTCAGAAAGGTTGCATTTTTTAAAAAAATTGAAGCACGGGTACGCTTTTAGGGAAAGAACACCTCTGGAGAGAGCGGGGGGCAGGGCCGGCAGCACAGGACGCAGCCGGGACGCTACCGGCACCGAGCTGCGCCGGGGGCAGCGCGCTGGGTGAGCGGCTTCACAGCGCCCATCTCCCATCCCCGTGCCAGCCCCACACCCTCCCACACCCTCCCGCCTTCACCGAGCCGCGGGAGACCGAGAGGAGCGAGAAAAAAAAAGCGAAAAAAAAAAGCGGCGCCCGGGGCAGCGGCAGGGCCGGGCCGTTGGGCACCCGCCACCTGCGGCGGGCGTCTCCTGAGGCGGCGGCGGGGCCGCGGGGCTCCTCTCGCGAGACGCGGCCCCGGCCGGGCGGGCTCCGTGCGGCGGGCAGGGGCCGGGGGGACGCGGCCCCGCTGCCGGTGCCGGTGCCGCCGGGGTGGGGGGGGCGGATGCGGTGCCCTCCGCCGCCGCTGCCGGCCGCCAGAAGCCGGCGGCCGCCGCCCTGCCTGCCGGCGCTCCGCCGGGCCGCGCCTACCGAGGGCGGGCGGAGGCTGGCGGTGCCGGCGGCCTCCCCGCCGAGCCGGGAAGCCAGCGGGCGCGGCCCGGCCGCCTCGCCTCGCAGTTCCCCAGCCCCGCCGCCGCCCGCCCCGCACCGCCCGCCCCTCCTCCCCCTCCCCCTCCTCCTCCCTCTCCCCCTCCTCCTCCTCCTCCTCCCCGGCCGGGGGCTGCGGGCGCCGCTTCCTTCCCGGCGCCCCTGCGGGGCCCGCGCGGCGCTGTCAGGGCGGCGCCGCCGCGTAACGGGCGCGATCGGGGCGAGGAGAGGGAGGAGGAGGAGGAGGGAGGCGAGCGGCGGCAGGAAGGCGGGGAGCGGCGGGCAGGGAGGGAGGGAGGGAGGGAGGGCGAGGGAGAGGAAGGGGGCGGCGGCGGGGGTCGGGCGGGGGGCGGCGGCCGGCCCGGCGGCATCATCACCTGGCGCTGCGGCGGGGCGGCGCCTGGCGTTGTCTGCGGCGCGCTGCAGCCCCGGGCGCTGGTTGGCGGCTTAAAGCAGCGGAGCCGCCGCCGCCGCGAGGGGCGGTCAGAGCAGCCGGGGCCGCTGCTGCTGAGCGTAGCGCTCGCCCGCGGGCAGCCATGGAGGGGAAGCAGCAGCAAAAGCAGCAGCAGCAGCAGCAGCTCGGACCCGGCCCCGGCGAGCTGAAGGTGCCGGGCGCGGTGGGTGAGGATCCGCGCTGCGAGGAGGGGAAGGATGCGGGCACGGCCGGCGGCGATGCGCTGGGCAGACCGCTGGGACCCACGCCGAGCCAGAGCCGCTTCCAGGTGGACCTGGTGGCCGAGGCCGCCGGGCGCCCGGCCGAGCCGGAGCCCCGCAGGGCGAGCGGGGAAGGCGGCGCGGCGGGGAAAGGCGGCGAGGAAGCCAAGGGGCGCTTTCGGGTGAACTTCGTGGACCCGTCGGCCGGCGACGAGAGCCCCGGCGAGCCCGGCGGCGGCAGCTCGGAGGGCGCCAACGTCAGCTTCCAGAACGGCGGCGACACGGTGCTGAGCGAGGGCAGCCTGCACTCGGGCGGCCACCACCACTACTACTACGACACCCACACCAACACCTACTACCTGCGCACCTTCGGCCACAACACCATGGACGCCGTGCCCCGCATCGACCACTACCGGCACACGGCCGCCGACCTGGGCGAGAAGCTCATCCGGCCCAGCCTGGCCGAGCTGCACGACGAGCTGGACAAGGTGAGCGCCGGGGGGGCTGCCCAGCGCCCTGCGCCTCGCACCGCACCTCCGCGGGCACCCCTCGGCCTCCTGGCGGCGCTGCTCCCAGGGCAGCCGGCTGCGGGTGCCGGCCGAAGGGCTCCCTTCCTCCAGCTCCCCCCTCCTTTTATTTATTTCATTCCATTTTATATATATATGTCTTTTTTTCCCTCCCCCCCTCCGTGCCGCAGTGGGTATTCCCCCCGGCGGGCGCCAGGATGGGGAGGAGGGAGCTGCGAGCGATGGAAGCGGTGCTAAAAAAGGAGGAGGAGGCGGCGGCAACGCGCGCATCGCCCGGCTTTCCGCGGCCCCTGCTTTTTGGGGATGCCCCTCCTTGTGGGGAGGGGACTGGGGGCACCCTGCACCATATGGGGGGGTGGGGGGTTGCTGGGGAGGTTTGGGAGCCCAGCGTGCCCGGCTCCAGCTGCCCTGCAAAGCCCGTTTGCGCAGGCTGGCAGTGCTGAAGGGCAGGCTGCGGGCGAAGCTGCACCCGGTGTGTTTTTGGGGTGATGAGCCGCGTGGAACCATCGCAGCGCTGCTTTCTCGCAGCATCTGGGCGCTTGGCCGCGCGCTAGTAATAAGTACACATTTCAGCGGGTCTTTCTGCTGGCACAGGGAAGCGATGTGGGCCACATCCTAATGAGGCGAGGAATGCTCTGCTCCCAGGACTCTTTCCATCCTGCCTCTCGCTCCTTCTAGGTGGAAGCCCGTGAGAAAATGTCTTCTGAGACCCCTCACACCGTTGTTAGGCGGCTTAGCGCGTCTGTACTGACTTAGTGTTTTTATTTTTGTTGATTATTTAGCTGTGGTTTTTTGAAACTGTGGCTCTGATAAAGGCGATTGTTAGTTGCAGGAAAGTATCTCTGTGGCACAATTAAGATTAGATATCGGAGTAATTACAAACAGTAACAGTGAATTACTGTTGCCTCTTAGGTCTTCTCATGACTGAGTTATATGACATTCTCTGACTTGGTGTGGAATGGAAATGGACGATTACTGTCTTGTGCCTGGGGCTAGAGATGCTGTAAAGAAAAAGCCATGCTACCTGCGCAGAAACACAGTGAATCTTTTTCAAATTTGTCACACCTGGTTCCTAACCGGATGAGAAGGAGTAGAAGGGAGAAGTTCATTAGATACTCTGTTCAGTAAGCAAAACATAACCTGAAATTCTGAGCCTGGCAGGTACTTATTCAGTGTGTTTACACAATAGCAGTCAAGGAAGCTCTTTATGATACCATTAAGACATTTTGGTGCATAACCAGACTTAGTCTGGAACTGCACTTTCTATAAGTGTCTATAAGTCTGTAATTTCTTTGTATTTAATTTAAAGGATGGCATGCAATTTTCTTGGTGGGTTGTAGCTAAGAAGAGCTGTGGACAACTTAATTACTGAATCATTCTCAAAACAATTACATTGTAAGCATTATTTAACTTAAAGTATTAATTTCTAAAATGTCCTTAATTTGATATGCAGTATGGATAGGTATCCACGTGAAGAAGAGACTTTTTAAAAAATAAGTAATTCCCCCCGCCTTCTTAGAAACTTGAAAAGTTAACCCCTTTCCTTAGCTGTGGGTTTTTGTACTAGCTTACCTGTACAGCATGTATGTCAAAGGCTTAGTAGGGCAGCTAGTATAAACATTCTGGTCCAACTGAATGAAATTTAGACTAAGTAAAGACCTATTGTTACACCCACAAAATACTTGCTTTTCTGTGGGAATTGTTGTTGGGTTTCTGTCCTGATCAGCTTCCTGGATCCAGTTCATCAAGATGGGCAATTATTTTGCATCACAACTGATTGAAATGTGTTCACCAGCCATGTGGTTTGTTGCTTTGAATTTAGCTATTTCACCTTGCAGGATGCTTGCAGTGTACACTGGCTTCAAAGGTAAACACATGTTGAGAGGCAGAGTTACAGTATTGCTGGTGCTAGTAACAATTAAATAACTTTTTTTTTTCATAGCCTTGTTTACAAACTTCATATGTCTAACAGTTCTTCTCATTCTGTTCTCACAGAAAAGCCCAACACGGGGATGATGCAGTTTGAGGAAGATACACATGTACACAAGAGTTTGCCTTGTCACTATAGAATAGGTTTCTAACCACCTCAAGTGTTGCAACTGAAACTCTTAGAGTAGAAAGGGGTTGTTCTCAAAACTGGTTGTGGCAACACAGCTGGGAGATGCTCCAGTACTCATGTGGATGAATTGCATGCTACTGATCTTGGTCCCTCACATTAAATTTAAGGTGAGGAGCTTGTTGCTTATCGGTGGCTGCAAATAGGCACGGTGATCAGTTCGTTGCTTACCCACTTGGTGTACATTAATCTCTCCATCCTCTAGAGAGATGGCAGAGGGAATTTTGTCATACTGTTACAGCTGCTAATGTCATAGATAAGGTGATGCTTTGCAGGAGCATCGGTCTCCAGAGATGTAGAGCTGTGAGGATGGTTATCATTAACAAAGAAGTGGGAGGGAGACAGCATACTGTGCCGCGCAGGTTTTTGTTGCAGTTGCAACACTGTGCACTGCCCTGAGGAGGATCCACTGAGAGGATCTCCTTCAGTCATAACAAAGACTAAAGTGTCTTAGCTTTTCTTTTCTTCTTATGTTTCAGTAGTTTTGCCAACGACTGTAAGTAAGCCTACAGCCTGTAGAATGCATTCTGTAGGCCTTTGTCTTCCTCAATACAAAAATCACTGTGCTCTAATATAGACCTTACAGTTCTGGAAGGCAAATGCTTTAAAAGCATTCAGAATTTGATTGTTTAAATTATTCGTTACTGTGCATTAATTTGTATTTTTTTTATGTTGCATTGCCTTAATTAGGGAGTTTGTTTTTTTGGAACAAGAAACTTAAGTCTGCGAATGATTCTGATTTAATAACGCCTTTTGTTCTGTCACTTACAGCTGTGGTAAGTAGATGGTATGTAAACCAAGCCCTCTACTGGTAGCTTTGTTCTGTTGTTCACTAAATACTTACTGAAAGTACTAGTTGGTTCCTTTCACAGGCTATAAGATGGTGATCTCAGAGGAAGATCTTTCTCCTGCCTAAAGTAAACGGGGAAAAGGGGGAAAAGCACACCAAAAGACACTTAGAT